GAGCGGCGGGAGGGATGGTGGCCAGGAAGCCCCTTCCTCTGGATCAGGAGCAGTGGGACGGTGGCTCAGAAGCTCCTACCTCTGGGCCAAGAGCAGTGGGATGGATGGCGGCCCAGAAGCCCCTGCCTCTGGGCCAGGAGCGGCGGGACAGAAGGTGGCCCAAAAGCCCTGTCCTCTGGGCCGGGAATGGCAGGAGGGATCAGTGATCACACTTTTAAACGCATTGGAGAGACTGTGAGACAATCTCAAAACTCAAAATGGTAAACAAGCCAGCCAGGGTGGCCTTGCAGGTTGAGCTGGGGACTAAGGGCCTCAGGTCATGCTGAGGAGGGATGCTGATAAAGACAAGGGTTTGGGCCTAAGTAAGCTGGGAAACAAATCTAAGATCTTCACATAAAGCTAGACGACTAAAAAGGCTCAGCATAATGAAAAAATTAGGCTAGGAAAAAAAAAATCTGCAGGCATCTTCCCTAGCTCAACAATGACAGAAGATGGGAGACCTTAATAATAGACATGTTTCACATCAAAAAAAAAAAAAATTTACCTTTCACTCAAATGAGAGCAGCCCCTGGACCCTGAAAACACATATAAATTCGTCTGGAGAAAAGCAACCTCAAAGTGGGTACTTTCAGAGTTCCAAAGTACTCTCATTTTAAGGCAATGAAAATTAAAATATACAAGGAGGGGCTGGGGTGTGGTTCACTAGTCACATAGTACTTGTTTAGCATGCACAAGGCCCTAGGTTTGATCCCTAGCAACAGGATGAGGGCAGCATGTGTGCATGCACGCGCACACACACACACACACACACACACACACACAGAAAGAAGCCACTATGGATAAATTAGCAGCTTAAAAGGAAAGATTTTAATTTTCAAGAAATGAAGATACTGGAAGCACCAAAATCAATATAAAATAACAGTAAAAATAAGTAAAGAACATAAAAATAAGTAGAAAGATTTGAAAAAGAATCAAACAACTTCTGAAAATGAACCACTGAATATATATATATTTTTTAACCACTGAATATGAAAATTCAGTAGACATGTTAAACAGCACATTAGGTTTACATGGAAAGGATGGGTGACCTGGAATACAGACCTGAAAAAAGTACTCAGAATTCACCATACAGAAAGTATGAGAGGGCCGGGGACAGAGCTCAGTGGTGCCATGCTTGCCTGGAAAGCACAAGGTCCTGAGTTCAATCCCCAGTACCAGAAAAAAAAAAAAGAGGAAGAGAGAGAAGAAAATATGAGTTAAAATACAAAGAAAAGAACAAAGAAGTCTAACACAACAGCAACTGGTACTATGAAAAGAAGAAACAGAATTGAAGAGAGGCAGTATTTCAAAAGAAAATGGCACAGATGGTTCCATAATAATTAAAAACATAAAGCTATCTGACACAGAAAACAAAGTCCTATAATGAAGAAAATCCATACGTGGACACATTACAGAAACATTCTAGAATACCAAAGAAAAACCTTAAAAGCAGCCAGAGTCTTGCAACAAATGATGCAAGTGGATGTCCATAAACAAAAATAAAAACAAAACCCACATACACTTAAAATGAACCACAGACTTAATTAAAATATTTTGTTCTGCAAAAAGACTGTTAGGAAGATGCAAAAACAGCTGAAAATACAAACTGCACACTGGGAAAAATATGCAAACAATATATCTGACAAAGAACTAGTGTCTAGAATAAATTCTCAAAACTCAGAAATAAAAAATAAAAAAATAAATTAACATTAAGTGACACTAATGTTAATTTCACCTAATAGGATATGCAGATGACAAAGAGTTCATGAAATGTTTAAGATCATTAGCAATTAGGGAATTGGAAATTAAAACCCAAATTAGATGACACTACATACTTATCAGAATGGCTAAGATAAAATATAGTGACCATACCAAATGTTGGTGAGAACATGGAGAAACTGGATCACTTGTATAATGCCCATGGGAATGTAAAGTGGTATAACCTACTCTGGAAAAAAGAGTTCAGCAGTTTCTTAAAAATCTAAATACGCAGCTAGGTGCAGTGGTACATGACTGTAATTCCAGCTAAGGCAGAAGGATGGCAAATTGTGATACATTATCTCAAAATAAAATATAAATAAAAAAGGCTGGAGATGTAGCTCAATGCAAAGGCTCTGGATTCAAACCCTAATACTGCAAACAAATATGTAAGTATGCAGCCAGGTCTGTAAGCCCAGTTACTTGGGAAGCTTATATGGGACAATCACTTGAGCCCAGGAGTTCAAGACCAACCTGGGTAACACAGCAAGAGCACATCTCAAAAAATAAATAACATGTGACCTAGTAACTGTACTTCTTCTAGGCAGTTATCCAAGAAAAATGAGGATTCTGCTCATTCAAAACCAACAGCAGCTTTATTATAGTTTCAAATTATAAACAATCCAGATATCCTTCAATGGGTGAATAGCTAAACAATCTGTGGTATATTCATACCATGCAATCCTGCTAAGCCATAGAAATAAGTCAACACATGCAACAATCTGGAAGAATCTCCATGGAATTTGACTGAATGGTGTGGGGAAATCCCAAAAGACTATATATGTTATATAATTCCATTTATATAAAATTATTGAGATGACAAACTTATTGGAATGGAAAACAAGTAAGTGGTGCCAGGGTTGGGGAGGAAAGCGAAAAGGCAGGGAAGAAGCTGTGGTTACAAAAGGGCAACATGAGGGGTCCTTGTGGTGATGGGAATGTTTGGTATCCTCACTGTGTCAATGCCAACATCCTGACTATGATACAGTACCAGAGTTTGCAACATGTCACTCTGACAGAAATTTGGTAAGGGGTACATGAGATCTCTCTGTATTTTTTCTTAAAACTGTATGCGAATCTACAATTACGTTCAAAATTTAAAATTTAATTAACAAAAAAGCAGTCACAGAAAGTCACATTACATCCAAAAGAATGACATTCACATTGAGAACAGATTTCTCCACAATAAAGAAAGTCAAGACAGGAAAAAGATATATTCAAAGTTCTGAGAAAAAAATGTGTCAAATTAGAAATGTGTATATAGAAAATCAACTTTAAAGAACATGGGTAAATCAAAACCATTGGTGACAAACAAAAACTACCATAAGTGTTTACCATCAGCAGATTATCACAAAAGGTACATCAAACGGCACGCTTTAGAACAAAGGAAAATTATCCTAGGCAAGAGGCCTGAGATGCAAGAAGAATAGTGAATAAATCTGAAAATTTATAAAAACAGTAATATCCAGATTAAAAATCACAAGCTAAGACTAAAATGTTGGGTGATTCTAGCACAAAAATTGAAAGATAGATAAAAAAGTGAAAACATTAAGAGGATACGTTAAGTATAGATATGAAAATTCCACAAAATGAAAAACATGGGTGGAATTTAAACTTCTTAAATTAATCCAAAGGAAAACGGAGGGGAGAGAGGACCACAGAAAGAACACAAAATAAGATGACAAAAATAAATTCAAGTACTTCAATAATCATTAAAATGCACTGAACTCATCAGTTAAATTTAAAAACTAATCTAGTTAAATGTTTATAAGGCACACTAACACGTAAGAACATTCATAAGGTGAAATAAAAGACAGTAAAAAAAAAAAACTACTGAGGCTGGGGATTTAGCTCAGTGGCGCCACACCTGCCTCACAAGCACAAGGTCCTGAGTTCGATCCCCAGCACTGAACAAAAAAATATATATATATATGGAACTATATGAGCAACTCTTGTCAATAAATTAAAAGCTACAATGAAAATGACAAATTCCCAGAAAAATGAAATAATCAAAATGACTAAGAAATAAAAATGCTAAGAGCTGGGGATTTAGCTCAGTGGTTCCTGCACCTGCCTTACAAGCACAAGTCCGGAGTTCGATCCCCGGTACCACAAAAAAAAAAAAAGAAAAGGAAAGAAACATTCAGCCAATTTTATAGGCAAGCTCTATCCAACTTTCAAAGAACAGATAAATTAATTTTTTTTATTTTCTGGGGGGGGGGCCTATTCCCTAATTTACTGTATAACCTAGACATCAAAAGCAATACCAAAAAGAAAAATTACATGTCAGTTTTATCACTGTGCTAGATATTATAACCAGCTAAAATCACTAGAAATTACTATTCGACACTTAGAAATTTCAGCCAGCAAACACTATATGTACATATTTTAATTAAAAGATAACTAGAAAAGAAAAAAAAAGACTGCCGTTATTGATAGATATTATTGACCACATAAAATACCTAAAACCCTACAGACAAATTTCAAATATACATAAAAGATTAGCAAAGTGAATGGGCACAACCCAAGCCTATAACCCCCGCTACTCAAGATGCTGTGTCAGGATCATGAACTGAAGGTCAGCCAGGCACCCTAAACAAGGAAAAAGGGCTGGGGGTGCTGCTCAGTGCTAGAGTACTTGCCTAACATGCATGAGGTTCTTGAGTTTAATTCCTAGCACCCCCCTCAACTTAGCAAAATGGTGGAATTTAACAAAAGCAATCAAAAACTCTAACTTCTGGGGCAACCCACTTTTCAGCTCCCCTTCTGTCTCTCTTAGAGAGCAGCTTTCTTTCTCTCAATAAATTTTTCCTACTCTTACAAAAAAAAAAATTATATATATATATATATGCTTCTAAAACTTCTGAGGTTAGTAATTATATTTTTAAAAGACACCACTGACAACAGAACAGAAACTAAAAATGAATCCAACCAAAATTATTCAAAAGCCTTATTAGAAAAATCAGAACTAAATAGAGAAATATGCTAGCTTAACGAATAGTAAGATTCAATATTATGAAATTCTTTTCTTCCTCAAAGTGATGTTTCAATACTAATGCAATTAAAGTCCCAAGAAAATCCTTTGGCAGATGACAAGTTGGTTCCAAAGTTGCAAAGAACAAAGAGCCAAGTCATTCCTAGCAATGGAATAGGTGGAGGAACTTGTTTAAAGATGAAGACTTCCTCTAAAGTCACAGAAATATATGTGTTTGGTATTGGCACTGGGTCAGACAATAAACCAACAGAATAGAAAGCACATGAAATAAAACACACACACATACAGAAACATATATAACAAGGGTAACTATAGATCAATAGAGAATGGACTAACCTTTCGATAATGGGCTTTGGACAACTGGTTATGTGCATTTAAACAATGCTTAAAATGGGAATTTGGATCCCTTTACTATACTATATACATTTATCAGTCAATATGGATTAAAGATTTAAATGTAAAAATACAAAGCTTTATAATTTTTAGAATATTAACTGCCTTTATTACCTCAGAATAGGTAGATTTCTTTTACTTTTTTTTTTTTTTTTGGTGGCGCTGAGGAGCAAATCCAGAAACTCGTGTATTCTAGGCAAACACATTATCACTGAGCTATACCCGCAACCCCAGTATGTTTCTTAAACAGAATGTAAAACAGAAGGAAAGGCTAATTAGTTTCTAAATTAAAATTTCCAACCTAAAATGTATAATCTACCTCTAGCCAAACATCTAGATCCAATTTCTTCTTAGAGGAAATAAAGAGCAGAGGATACCATTAAATTATTCCAGAATAACAGCCAAAATTGGGGTGGCAGTGAGGGTTGGGTAGGAATCAATCAACAGAAACAGGCCATAAATGATACAGATGATAGAATGAATGAGACATTAAAGCCACTACTAGAAATATTCTACAGGATGTATCCCCCAAAATAGAGGACAGAATAAATAAGTACATTAAGGAGTACACATGGAAGACAGAAAAAGACCCAAATGGAACTTCTAAAATATAATGTCTGAGGTAGGATAAAAATGAGATTAGGTACTTCAGAAGAAAAGATTAAGGAACATGAGGACACAGCCATGGGAAGTACCTAACATGAAAAACAGAGGGAAAAAAGACAGAAAGAAAAGAGCAGCACATAGTGTCCTGTGAGACAACTGTGACTATGACTTAGCAATCACATTAGGTCTATTTTCACACATTGTAAATTATGCTATGATCTAACATATAAGCAACTGGAGCCCCCAGAGAGGAGGGAGAAGAGTACAGCAACAAACATAAATGAACAAATAATGCCTCAAATTTCCAAATTTGATGAATACCATAAACCACAGGTAAACAGCTGTATCAGGAAAAAACTACACTGAGCACATCATAATCAAATTGTAACAAAAAAGAACACCTAAAGAGTAGCCAAAAGAAAATGGTAACTTACATATAAATAAGAACAACAGTAGTTTTCTTGCTGGAAATCACAATAAAATATCACTTAACATTCACTAGGTTGGTAAAAATTTTATAAAGTCTGAAATTAATGAGTGTTAGAAATGTGAAACAATGGTAAATAACATAGTGAAAGTCAGTGCTGATAGAGGTATAAACTGGCACAGCCACTTGAGATATAATTTGGTGACATCTTGTAAAGATAAAGATACTCAGACCACGTGACCAAGCAGTATCACTCTTACACAGAGGATGTTCATATAGCAGCACTGTTTGCAATAGCAAATACAAAAACATACAAAACCCAAATGTCCATCAGTAAAAGAATGGATAAATTACAGAAATAAAAATGAATGAGTCTTGGGACAGGGATTTAGCTCAGAGGCACCACATCTGCCTCATAAGCGCAAGGTCATGAGTTTGATCCCCGGTACCGAAACAAAACAAAAAAAATGAATGAGTCTTAAAAATGTTAAATTGAAAAAAGAAAGCCACAGAAGTAAACATACATTATGCCATTTATATAAAATTCAAAAACATACAAAATTAACATTCCATTTAGGGGTACATACAAAAACTGTAAAACCACAAGCAAGAGAATGACAAAACAGTAATAATTACTTGGGAGAAAAGGAACATACAGGACTCCTGAAATATAGGAAATGTTCTGGTTCTTAAGCTGGCCGATAAATACACACATTCATATTATTATTCTTTAAACCTTATATATACATATTTATGCATTCTTGCAATATGAAATACTTCATTTAAAAAACAAGAGCTGGGCCAAGGATTTAGCTCAGTGGTTCTGGCGCCTGCCTCACAAGCGCAAGGTCCTGAAATCGATCCCTGGTACAAAAAAAAAAAAAGAGTCAAAATGTGAAAGACACTAAAAATGAATATTACCACTTATGTAAATAATAATAGTATAAAAAAAGTATACACAGAAAATGTTCAATTCTTTTTCATTCAGGGCCCTATATTATCAGTATTAATCTAAATGGGCCAAAATTCTAGTATGAAAAAAAAAAAACCAACTAGAGTCTTTAACTTCTCTGACACAAAAATCTATTAGGCAGTAGTAAATATGTTAACCACTCATTTCTGATTCAACTTTTATCTGTACTTAGATTTGTCTTTGGACTTCTTTGGACTTCTGCTTCGGTCTCTCTTTTTACTCCTTTCTCTTTCATAACCATCTGTTTGGTATCTGGATTTGTGACTATTACTGTAGTGCCCATCTCTTTCTCGAGATCGGCTACGACTTCGGTCTTGGGGTCGGTCTCTCTTTTCACTCTTTTGTTTCTCCCAAGAGCTTTCTTCTTCTTCATAGTGACCAAACCCCATTTCCCTGTAGATATCCTGTCAAAGAAATGCAGAAAGAGTTAAGAATCAAAATCTATAAAACAAATACTTTGTGAGCACTGTCAATTACATAAAACCTAGAAAAAGTCCACCATTAGCAAGCTGTTCTAACAGCTCAAATTTGAATAATACCATTAATGTGAAGAATCTCATATATTAAAAAGCAAAGTAATTAACAAAGATTTAACTATTTTTCTTATCTCACTGTTTTGCATCTATTATTTTAGTTGAACTGAGGGATCAGTACCTCATAGAACTGAAACAGCCCAACCAAAAATAGAACAAGTCTATAATGTTATGACATCAGAAGTTCTGATTAGTTTTGGTCACATTTCCACTTTCCCTTGCTCCACTTCCCCAAAAATGTGATCCCATACTGATTTACAATAAAATGGCTAAAATCACCATAACAATCCTTAAAGAAGACATCATTTAAATAGCACAGTAGGCAGAGGTCTTAGATAAGACAGTCTAAAATGAAAAGAAAACAGATTCTGCATAATTTGATATGGGTAAATAATTTTTTTAAAAATTTTATTTTGGGGATTGAACCCAGTGCTTTGCATATGTTAATAAGCATGCTCTCTATCACTGAGCTATACCCCAAGCCCAGTTTAATTTTTAAAGGGCTTTATTTCATAACTGTTCCTGTCTAAATCTTCAAATATATTTTGTATGTTTAGATTAGGCTGATATGTTTTTGTTAATATTATTCCTTACTATTAAGAAACACTGGAATAGGGCTGGGGATTTAGCTCAGTGGTTTCATCGCCGGCTGCAAAAGGGTCCGAGTTCAATCCCCGGTACCAAAAAAAAAAAAAAATCCCATTGAAGAAACACTGGAATAATCCATTGCCCTTAGACAATACAATGGTTGTATTTAAGTCTATTTTAAGTAATTAAGAATAATTTTCCCATAGAAGAGGGCTCTGTTTGTGTCCTACTCTTAATTAAAACAAGCATCTCAGTGAATGGCTAAAATCTAAAGTAACCAGTGCTAATCTTCTTTCAAGAGATAGTTTGCAAAATTTAACTTCCTTTAAAAATTGCTCAAAGGAAAGGCAATATTCTAAGGACTGTACTCTCAAATACCTCTATTCTATCACCACAGACATTATTATGGTAGGCATTAAGTGTCAAAGGGTTAAAATACAGTGATACTCATAATTAAGGCTCTGGTTTTATCCAAATGATTATTTCATAAAATCCTCAATGTATTACACAAATAGGCACTTAAGCACTATGCATGTTTAAAATAAAAAAGGAAAACAGCTATGGGGTTGGGAATGTAGTGCAGTGGTGGAGTGCTTGCCTAGCATATGTGAGGCCCTGGGTTGGATTCCCTAGCCCCCAAGGGAAAAAGAAGGTATAAAATACTTAATTCGTTGAAACACTGAGGAAGCTGAAGATCTGAAAGGGACTGAAATTTTCAAATTTTGGAGTAGTTTTCAAACCTAAACAAGCTTTGACATCAGGCAGATCTGTATTCAAATGGTCTTTGCCATTTAGGAGATATGTGAAAAGTAGTCTTGAAGTTACATTTATTAGTATTAAGAAACAGTTAGAATTTGAGGTGGGCCCAAATGGTGAGTGGGTTTGGGTTTGAATTGGCTACAAAAAGGCTGATGTAGGGCCGGGGATTTAGCTCAGTGGTTCTGGAGCCTGCTTTACAAGCACAAGGTCCCGCGTTCAATCCCCGGTACCATAAAAAACAAACAAACAAACAAAAGGCTATTGTAGAAATGGAAAGCAAGGAGGAATCAGCACTGTGTGTATGTAGGAGAAAACTTTAGGTGGTTGAATGAAGTCACATCAGGGCAGATCCTCTATGTGCCACTAGAGTGTGAAGCACTTCAGGAGTACAATATGACCTTCATATTAGAAGCAAAGAGATTGAGACTCATGAGATCTACACAGATTGGAGATAATTATTTAAATCAATCAGTAACCTTATATAAAACTGAGAAAGGATGGTAAAGAATAAAAGGAAAAGAAAACAAAACCTGGCTGAACTAAAACAAAGTTCAAGGTCCCCCTAACTATAAAGGCTTAAAGTATGTAGGATTAGTATCTTCATATCTAAAGTGAAGAAAATCAATAAGGTGAGCATTAAGTCCTTTCTACTACAGATTTTTAAAAGTTCCATTATTTTATACATTTAAGACACGAAATAAGATGGCCAGAAAGGGAAATGAAACACACACACAGGCCAATTTAAAGCAATCAACATAACACAGCAAAAAAAAGTAGTCAAAATATCCCTAATCAAACTAAAAGCTAGCCTTGCTCAGCTCTCTGGGATTAAATCAAATATTCAATTACATTTAAATCACTGAAATGTTAAATCTTTTAAATCACAACAAAAATAGAGTGCCAAATTACAAGCATACACACACTACAAAAATATCAATGGAGAACTGACACCCAATATGGATATTTCTCAGCCAGGCAACCTCATTTCCTGTAACCTCAGTAAAACCCAAACTTCAACAACACAAAAACCATTTTTGGAATTAAGGCATGAAATGGAAAAAAATTAAACGAAAATTTTCAAATTGAATAATAACACTGTTCAATAAAAAACAATTTGAAAAAATAAGTTAGAACATCCTTGGGAAACTGTACTCACTCAGCAAAATACCAACAAATAGGAAAATTTGAAGTACACCTGGAATTTAACTAGTGGTACAAATTTTCTTTAATTATTATGTCTTTCAGACTGAAATAAAAAATAGTGATGCTCAGTTTTATTAGAAAGAAAATGAGAAAACTAATGTAGCTATATTATTAAATCAAAGTATAATAGCAAAAAATGTTTTAATACCCTGACAGAAAAGAAATGGGTTAGGAGATTGTTATTCAGAATTGAGCAATTTTATAATTACTAACTCCCTTAAAATTCTTTGTAAAATGCCAATAGCAAGTTGAGCATGATGGTACACTCTTATAATCCCAACTACTCAGGCTGACAGGTGGGTTACAAACCCTCGGCAACTGAGTAAGACTTTGTCTCAAAATACAAAATATAAAAGAGCCAGGGGGCTCAATGGTAGAGCACTTGCTTAGCCAGGATCTGGGTTCAACTCCCAGTACTGCCAAAAAATAAAAAATAAATAAAAATAAAGAAGAAGCTGCTAACAGCATTCCTCAAAAAAAAAAAAAAGTGATGCTAAAAGAGGGTATCTGCCACTATAAGGCCTTCAGTAATCATTAACAGCAGAATCAAAAGATTCATAAAACTGAGGAGACAGATATAGAATGTAGTCAGTCTTCCCATTTTTAGACCTCTGATCATCTCACATACACCAATGTTTATCTCAGGCCTCAATTCATTGAAGATTCCATGTACAATTTCAGGATGAAAAGCTGCAGCTAAAAGCAGCACATATTTGGGTGGGGGGAAGATTACGGTTTTTAGTTTAAAGAGCGCTAAAAATTCCTAAGAATGTGATATTTTAAAAGTCTGGGGTGATTTGGGGCGGGTGTCTGGGGTGATATTGGGGTAAGTACAGAAATTAAGAGGGAGGAGACGTTTCTGTTATATCACACTGAAACAGCACTATGGGCAAGTTATTCCTGGTAGAATAACAGGATTGAGGAAAGAAAACTGAGAGGAATATGTTCTGGGAAGAACAACAGTACTGTAATTAGGAGTACGGATTTGATCTAAACTCTGGTTCCATTATTTACTACTTGCATAAAACCATGGGCCAGTAACAATCTTTCATTTTCACTGTCCTCTTTGTTGTGCAATGAGGATAAAAAAAATTACCTCACATTACAAAGACAATAAAGATGTTAGTTACTACTGCTCATATGATTACTGATTCATGTGAGGAATACTGAAAGGAACAAAGGCGCATCTTACACCTGGAACAGGGCATGAATGATGGCAATCTTGAAATAGCTAATGGGCTATGGAAAGAAAAGAGACTATGCTCCTGCTAGGCAACAGCAAAATGTAGGGATGAATGCTACCCAGGACACAGGAAACGAAGAATATTCACCAAATATATATTTGCGGGAAAAATTTTAAATGAAGATAAACCACAAAATACGAAAAATAGTTACCTACAGGGGAAAGAAGAAGAAGGAGAAGAAACAGGAGTATAAGATAGGTTTTTTTGTATGTACCACCATGTGTGTTGTATATTTTATTTCTGAGCCATAGAGTTTTTAAAACTACAAACCAAAAAAAAAAAGTTTTAACCAGTTTTTAACTTCAAAAATAAAATGAAAAAAAAGACCAAAAAAAGATAAAATGAGACAAATTAATTAAAATATGACCCCAGTTAGTGGCATAACCACAGGGAGAAACTAACTATAAAATATAATTTGACTGTAATAGTACAAGCAGTGGTAGTAAGAATAGTCAGTGATGAGAATGTTTACACACACAATTTTTTTCATTTAATCTTAACACATACCTGTTAAGTATTGCCTCGGTTTCACAGAGAAAGAAACTGTGGCTCAGAAAGTTAAATAACTTGTTAGGGTCACATCAATAACTAGCAGTGTAGAAATGTAAACCTAATTTTTCAGACAGCAAGTTCTTAACTTTGCCTACCATACCACACTCCATCTGTCTTAGTAGCACTCACTCACTCTAATAACCTCAGCCTGCTGAAATCCTCACCACTAGGGCCTAGTTCACATGTCTTCCATGTGCTAAAACAAAAACAAGGGGCTGAGATGTACTCTGCTTTTCATTTAACCAAGAGACAGAAAACAGGTTAAAAATGATTTCTTCTCTTTATAATCAATTTTCTCCAGTGAACTTTCATTTTCATTATTTTAGAAAATAATTCATTCAGGATAGCTTTGGGATGATCAAGTTAATTATTAGTGCAGTTTTATTTCATATGCACAATATGGAAGGACATGTTTCACAGGCTATAAAATCTCCAGGGCTGCAAGTGCAGTGTATAAAACATTTTTGGACAAATTAACAACTGAGGAGCATTTTTCTACCATAGCCATACTTGTTTATATTAAGTCACTGTGAAAACAATCTTTTATAACTTGTGATACATATTCTTGAAAATTAAAGCCCATTACCACATACAACCATTCTATATTTTAGAGCTAGGCACTACATACCTATCACTATTCAGAACTATCTATTACCTCCTACATTATACCACCAAGATGCAATTTACAAAGGAACAACATACAGTGGAACCTCAGTTCATGAACGCTTTTGTTTATAAACAATTTGATTCGCAAACAGAAGCATTTGAAGAAATTTTGTTTTTGTTTGCCAACTATGCACTGGATGACAAACATGACCGTGGCCATCTTTCCCAAACAAACACAAACGTGGTCATCTTTTCCAAAATCATAGAACAAGTTAAGCTCATGAACATTGTATTTGCTTCTCCACATCTAAGTCTGGACATTAGAAATACCTGGTTAGTATTTTTGATTGGCATGTAGTCTTCATCTTCTTTTTCTTCAGAGCAGTGTCGTGTTTTTTTCTTGTGTTTTTTACTTGTGTGTGAGTGACTTGATTTTGAGTCTTCTGCCTGCTCATCTAGTATAAGATCGTACTTTGCACTACAGCATTTAGTTAAGGGTAAATATGAGAAATGGTAGATAAGATATCAAAACATAATCTGGTAAACAAAGGAAGTCACAAGGCTAAGTATAACTTTTTAAAGCAAATACCATGTCAAAAGCATAGAATACATTTCTAAAAGAAAACTAACATTTTCATTATGTAGTCAAGACAAGTGGAAAGAACACTGATCTTAAACAGCTAACTAGTGGAAAAATATATGAAAAATAAAAGAGTACTCACAAACGAAAAGTCAAGTAGCATAAGAAACAAGGAAATGTATTTGTGAGCAATGAAAAAATCTACACTTAGAAAACAAAGCAGCCACGCTTTCCTTGCAAGTGCAAGGTCCTGAATTCGATCTTCAGTACCAGAAAAAAGAAAAGAAAAGAAAACAAAGTACATCTTTAACCAGAAAAAAATTAAGATACTATAAACACTAATACCCAAGAAACTATGTAAGATGAAAAGTACTTTCACATGACTCTTCTTTTAGATCAATCCCTACAGGAAGAAATTTAGCATTGACATCAATAGTAATCATGTTTAAATTCTAGTAAGAACTTTAAAAAATTAAAATAGTAAGTTACATTAACAAAGACATACATGTTAGAATTACTTTTAATACCACAAAGGGTAATGATAAAATAGTAATAAAGATATACTTAAACACATTATAGTACTTCAACATAATGTAATGTTATAAAGGAATTTTGGGGCTGGGGATGTAGTTGAGTGGTAGAGCTCTCACTAGCATGCATAGGGCACTGGGTTCAATTCCCAGCACCACCAAAGTAATAATGATAATGATGACATTTTAGTTCAGAAAAAACTAATTTTTCTTATATTATAAGGCAGCTAAATAATAAGTGAAAACATAAAACAATTATAATTTTGCTGAAAATAATCTAAACTTCTAAAACAGATTTTGAGGAAGGCTGACATGGAATGCAATAGTGGTTTTCAAAAGAAAGCTTATGAGGAAGCTTAACAGAGGCTATTTTAATCCCAAGTGAGACTAGTCTCACTTCAGCTTTCACAAAGCCACAGCTTAAGATTTTCCTCAAGGATCTATCTACATAAGATCAAACAGGAAAACAGTCTCTTCTAGCTTTTCACAAGATGGTTTGTCAGCCTGTACCATTCTGTTATTACTCCATTATCTCCAACTTCTTTTCTCCTTTATATGATACCACACTGTCTCCAGGGTACCTCTGGATCTGCTTCTCTGAGATACAAATCCAACAACTACTGGCTATAATTTTATTCAACTTGTGCTCGACACATGCTGTTCCCTGTCCAAAATGCTTTACAGTAGTGTTCTTCAAACTGAAGATCATAATCCAATGATAGCCTGTAAAACCCATGGGTCACAACGAGCATTTCTGAAATAATATAGATAGGAAATAGTATGGCACCTAATAAAAATATTATTTTATGAAATTTTTGTTTCAGTTGTGTGAACGATTGTACCACTGCTGTACTAGGTTAACATATACTTTTTTTTTTTTTTTTGAGATGGAGTCTTGCTACAACATATTGTCCAGGCTGACCTCAAACTCCTAAACTCAAGTGGTCCTCCAGCCTCAACCTCCCAAACAGTCGAAACTTCAGGTCTCTGGCCACTGTGCCTACCTCCTAAACTTTCTTAAGTGATGGATCACAGTTAAAGAAAACAGTATCCTGCACTCAGTGCTCTTCTCCCCTATATTCAAGGTGCAGCTTTAATGTCACTTCTTTAGTGGTCCTTGAGGATATTACCTAGCCCTTCAATCCTATTGTAAGTCTCATGTCTTATAAATGTACTTCCTTGCAATACTCTACATAATCAATGGTTAATTATTTTATATTAGTTCTTACACTCATATACCCTCCAACAATAAAATGTAAGCCCCATGTGGTCAGGGACAGTATCTTTCATTCTAAAACTGGGTATAAAAGAGATGCTAGGGAGAATCAAGATGGTGAAGTGGTGAGTGGCACCAAAATTCAGCCTCTCTGAGAGCTGGAATACAGATCCTGGAAAATAACTTGAAGAAAAAATCAGAAGTAGAGTGCTGGGAACTGGGAAGGAACTGGCAGAAAAATTAAAAGCTACAGATAAGTTTTCAAGGCAGACCACAATGCAGAGAAGGAAATCAAACAGTCTGGACTCTCCCTCCAGCTCCCAGCTCCTGGCTCAAGGGAAAAGGAGACTGGCTCTGAAGAAGCAAGGTGAGCACTGGAGGCTCCAGGGAAAGCAGGATGGACCAGCAAGGTGGGCTCCAGGGGGAATCCGCTCTTGTTGGGATCTGCAGGGAGTGTGGGGTTTTACTCTGAGACTTCCTTCACATGCCAGACAACAACCAAATAGGGATCCTGGCACAAGCACCTACCATAATGCTAGAGAGCATTATTATTAAAGCCATTCTAGGAAGGGATGACTGAATCTGGGACTCAGAACAGCTTGGGGATGGCCTCACTTCACAGTTCCCAGTGTTCCCCTCTAAAAGTGACTGGGTGAGAGACAGCCACAGGAGACAGTCAGGGAGTGGGCTGGAAAGAGGCCCCCAGAGGGGTTTGAGCTCCTGCTGGAAATCATGACCCCCAACCTCTACCCCTACGATGGAAGGTTAAGGCCCAGCTTGAGTTACACTGGGTCTGAAAGTGCCAAATTGAGTACTTCAGCTCTCACCCTACTGTTTGCATCTACCATGGGACCTGGTTTCTGACTGCCTTATTTACCAGTACTAGCGGGAACATGTATCGGGCTTAGGCATTGCCACAGTCTGGGGTAAACAGAGGTGCCTCTGGAATAGAGGCAAACCCACAGGTTGTAAGGCTTGGTGGTGAAAACCATGAACTGCTGGACTCCAAAACTCTAGATCCAAGAAACAAACAAACAAACAAACAAACAAAAACAAGCATTCAAAAATACAGAGAAAATATTTTTTTTGTTTTTGGACTTTCTTTTCTGTTTTCTCTTTCATCTTTAATAGTTTATTGGGACTCAGGGAATTTTTCTTTGTCCTTCTTCCTTGTTTCTTTCCTTTTAATTTTTTTCTTTAAATTGCCTCATTTTTGCTTTCCTCCCTTTTTACCTATTTCTCATTTGTTTTATTCTGTTATTTTATCTAATTCTAAATATCCTTCTACTCCTTAATAGGATTCTTTATCTCACTTCTCTCTCCTTACCTCTTATTGTTTAATTTTTCACATTTTTTCTATTGGAGTCCCCCATTCTCCACCCCCTATGTCTTTACTAGTATAACCACTATGTTTTATTAATTTTCTCCTTGAGGTCTAAATTTCCCTCTTCTACTATGATTCATTAATAATCTACGTTTATAGTAATTTCTCAAGATCTATAAAGTAAATCACCATCAATCTTTTTTTAACTGATTAAAGACTTTTCTGCATTATTTTCTGAATTCCTTTCCCTTATCATAACATAGTAACACACAGTGTGAATTACAAGACCCTGTGTATCTTATACATTATAAACAAGTGTTCTGTCCCTCTGTTATCCTACCTGAAATTATAAATGCCTCCCTGAAAAGAAACCTATCAACTACCAAGAACATAGACTGTCTTACTACTGGATCAGATTTATGAATTTCCTCTTTTTTGTGTAATATTCTGTCAATTATTTGTGAATGATTAACAGTGTCTGTCTTTTACATCAACTTCAGAAGGCTAGGAGGAATTATACCACTCAACAGAAGGACTGTATAGGTCTTTAAAATTAATAGGGAGGGAGGAAGAGGAAGGGAAGGGGAAGAAAAAGAATTAGAGAATTAAAGATACGTTATATACATGTACCAACTCCCTATGATGAATGTAATCAGTATGTACTACAAAAATATACTAATTAAAAAAAGGGAAAGAAAAAGATTTGCCTCATGAGAAACAAGACATAAAGTGTAATAACAGTACACCGATAGCTGGACACAAGACAGGCCTGTGAAATTTGATGAAATTTCCCATTGCATCTTCGTAAAAAATTGGGTAGCTGGGCGTGGTGGCACATGCCTGTAATCCCAGCACTCAGGAGGCCGAGGCAGGAGGATCACCATGAGTTCAAGGCCAGCCTGGAATATATAGTGAGTTCAGGGCCACCCTGAACTACATAGCAAGACCTTGTCTCAAAACAAACAAACAACAATAAAAAAAAATTGGGTAAAATATCTCAATTTATAACAGCAAAAATCTGCAGACTAAACCTGTTTGTGATTTGCCAGAGTATACTAGATTGTTTATAATGTACTTTTAAAAAATTAACTTAAAAATCTATTAGTTGATTTAAATTGTGAATAAAATAAAAAACTAAAATTAACAAAATTAGGGCTGAGGCTATAGCTCAGTTGTAAAGTGCTTATCTAGCATGCTCAAAGCCTTGGATTCAACCACCAGTACTGGAGGGAGGGAGGGAGAGCGAGAGAAAGAGAGAAAGAGAGAGAGAAAGAGAGAAAGAGAGAAAGAGAGAGAGAGAGAGAATGAATTAATATTAAATAAAATTTAAAAGTCAGTTTCTGGTATGGGGATGTAGCTCAGTGATACACAGCTTGCCTAGTATGTATGAGGACCTGGTTTTGATCCTCAGAAGCAACAAAAAAAATTTCAATTCCTCAGTCGATCTTCCATGTTCACTAGCCACATGTGGTTAGTATCCTGGACAATGCAAATATAGTACATTTTCATCATTGAAGAAAGTTCTATTCAATAGTACTAGAGATTTGTTCACAAATATGCCTAGTTTTCTTTCTTAAATCTTAGCAATCTATCCTCTTGAATTTAAAGCATTTTAAGGCTACAAATTTAAAACATTTTACACTGTGCATTCCTTTATTTCAGGCTGAACTGTTCCATGGGGGAAAAGACACCTCCTTCTTCTTAATACTCTACAACTACACTTCCTTTTATTTGTCCTACATGCTCTCCTTCCAGCTGCAATTATTAGTTGTTAACCTAAATTTAACTTCAAAGATTTGTAAATCTCAAGTGTATATTCCTACTTTTTATGATTTTGAGCTTTCAATCTCAAACCTTTTAGTGTTGCTTTTTTCAGACCAAATAGTGGCTTGTTGATCCATCTGCCTGTGAAAGCTTCTTCTAATGCTGATCCTGTTAGCATCCTTCAGATTTTATGTAGCTCTAATCCCTCACAATGCTTTATGCATTGCAGATAATGGACACATTTTAAAACATGAAAATATAAAGGTCAACCAGATATTCATCTCTCCTTGATGAGTACTTGGAAAAGAAATGTGTACATAGCAGAGGAAAAAAGAAACCTGAAGTATCAACAGAATCTAGGAAACAAAGACATCATTTACCTGAAACAACCACAAAAGACATAACCTTTGCAATGTGTGGAGTGATAAGATTTATAATGGGGAAAAAAAAAATCAGTGAACAAATTAAAATGATATCATATGAACAGTATGTTTCATTGTTTTTTACTTGTCTCAACCTAAAATTTGAAAAAACCTGAATTACGTGGTCAACAAATTTCTTTGTAATCCTCTAAAAGTCAACTCTTGCAATTCACCAGGAGCTAAATAAATATTTCTTCCAAAATGACAATGTACTATGCAGAAAGAAGCAACCGAATCTTATAACAAATAATTTCAGGAGTCTGTTATCTAGATAAGGGAGTTAAACGTAAGAGAATGGTTAGTACAAAGAAATTTCTGATAATGAGGAATTTAAAACATTATAATTATATACACAGAAAATAAAAACCTTACCTGAAAATCTGGGAATATGGTAGTTAGGAAGGCACTTTATCTAAGAGTAGGAAGGTAAAAGATTTAGGCTAAAGATTTCTTTCAAACCTAACTTTCTCCATAATATAGGATATAATGAAAAAGCAAAGAATATGTACAACACTGAAAAGCAATAACAATAAATTACTTCTACACAAATGATCTGCATTCAAGAGCTTTGTTTTCAAGAGCCTTCATGACTTTTTATAACACAGCACACAGTATTCTACACATCACAGCAGATGGTCAATACACATCAGTGAACTCTTGTTAAGGATACTCCTGTTTGGGCTTTACTTTATCTTTCAGAACTAAATTAGATGATTTGTCTTGTTCCTTTTCATACTCCTTGAAATCACTCTTGGTGTATTTCCCACCTATTCATTAAGAAAAAGTGTTTAGTAAGAAAAATCATCTAATCAGGAACAATAACTATTTTATAGAAGATATGATCTGTTTTTAAAAATGGCATAGTGTGAGATAGAAAAAGGGCAAGAGAACAAAAGAACACAATAAACAGGTAGTTACATGCTGCCACCTAACGATATATGTTAATATTACAACATCAAATTTTCAAATAAATTAAATGTCAATACTACAGTGTATAAGTACAGCCAGTCCATGAGAAAATTAAATCCAGTGGAAAACTGAAAATTTTGGACCCAAATTTGGAAGAAGTGAGGCTTTGAAGACCCCTGACCTGTTTCTCAACAGAGGACTGGGCTGACAGAAGACAACAGAATGTATGGAGTTCACTAAAGATAATGAGAGGAGAGGGTTAGTGACAACACCAAAGAAAAATGTCCCTGCTTTAAAATGCTGGCTGATAGCCACCTTTATTCCTCCCAAGTGCCAAAAAGGAACAATCTCTTCAAGAAGCTAAGGCTACTACTGTTACATCCTGGCTATGGAACAAGGCCATAAAGGATGAGCATTCATGCAGCCTCTCTATTCTTCAGCACAGTCTCCTTACCAGAGGAGGAGTCCGTTTTCACACACATTCAGTACTTTCTGCCTGGCCTGCCTTTCCTATCTCCTCAACTACCACTTCCCAGTGCTTATTGTGAGAAGGGTTCCTATGGAAAGGTCTAAGAGTCTGTGTATAAGCAAAGCAAACTGGAGGTACAAGGAAAGAGACGTGGAATATGAATCCTATATTTTTTTATTGTCAGGAATTTAAGGAAGGGGGAGAACAAGAATGAAAAAATGAGGATAAGCATCAAAGACAAGATGAACCTACTTGGCAATTCTAGAGACTCTGAAAATAAAAATGGCAGACAATATCTCACGTAATATGAAAGACTATTGCAAAAGTTGAGATAACTAGCAACAGTAAAAAATAGGCATCATTTTATCACTGAAAAATGATTTGCCATGTGCCTGCCATTAGAAGTCTCACTACAGATGAAGCAGTTGTGTTATAAAAGAAAGAGTAATGGGTAGGGCTGGGGACTTAGCTCAGTGGCACTGTGCCTGCCTCGCAAGCACAAGGTCCTGAGTTCAATGCCCAGTACCAAAAAAAAAAAAGAGTAATGGATTAAAGTGAGAGGTTCTGAATTCAAATCTTGACTCAAGTGAGGGGGCGCCAAGAGGCAAGGGGTGGGATGGGCAAGCAGCAGACCGCCTGCCCGCTCCCAAGATCCAACTATGAGCTTTTTAACTGTAGCAACTTTAATATATGCTATTGGAGCTGGAATTATTGCGGCTGCTGGCACCAGACTTGCCCTTCAATGGATCCTCGTGAAAGGATTTAAAGTGGTCTCATTCCAATTACAGGGCCTCGAAAGAATCCTGTATTGTTATTTTTCGTCACTACCTCCCTGGGTCGGGAGTGGGTAATTTGCGCGCCTGCTGCCTTCCTTGGATGTGGTAGCCATTTCTTAGGCTCCTAAGTAAGATACTTCACTTTTCTGCAACCCATGCACTTTATAAACTGAAAATAGCACCAACATTTCACAGAGCTGAAAGTTCTGAGCACTGTGAATGATACATAGTATATCCATTGTTTCCAATGTGAAACAATTATATACATTAAATGGACATAATTTTATATCCAGATTAACTAAGATTAAAAATAAATGAAGTTTATGATGACATACGTGAAATCAAAGGATCACTCTCATCTAGGTGATATTTTATTTCAAAAAAACATGAACAAATTCACTAAAAAGTTATCTTGTAAGGGCCAGAGATGTAACCTCATGGTAGAGCACATGCACAGAACAGAAATAAAGGAAGATAAACCAACATACCTTTTCCTTTCCACTTAACTTTTGCAACAGACTGGCTAAAATCCACATGTATTCTCCTGTCATCTATAAGTACATTATCCATTTTGAAGAATGCTTTCTCACAATCTTCTTCCTGATAATAATGATAAAAACTTAAAGATAAATATTTATGGAAAAGATTTCTATAGACAGGACAAATACAGAACATATAGTCTGTTGTTACTAAAATTGATAATTGAGTACTACTTACTACACATCGGATAGTTAAATGCTTTGTGTTATCTCAATTAACTCTAGTAACAATCTAATGAGGTAGTCTATTATTATCCTCACTCTCTCAATGAGAAAACAGAAGTTTATTGAGGTATAGAAGTTGCCATACATCACACAATTAGCACAGGTTAAAGCCATGATTTTTTTTTTTTTTTTGGTACTGGGGATCAAACTTGGGTCCTTGCGCTTGCGCAGCAGGCGGTGAAACCACTGAGCTATAAAGCTATGATTTTGAACTGAGGCACTTTGACTACAGTGGAAATACATACACTTAAACAACTGTGTTATACAGTACAAGTCTATGATCTTTTTTACTCGTGACCCAAAAATACTATATCCTAAAAAGTAAAAGCTGTTTTCATAAATTTGGTATTAAAAGTTATCTGGCAGATCCCCGCATCCATCCCCCAGCGACCAGCCAGCAGACAGTGAGGATCTTGGCCACGTGGACCAGCTTAGCCACACAGGAGTCTGCAGCACCGCACCCCCCAACACACCCCCATACCCCCACCCCACCTCCTGGCTGTGGCGCTACCTGGTTCCACACTACAGAGGCACAGGAAGTCATAAAGGCCATTGTCCTGAGCTCCAGAAGATAGAGCAGAAGTGAACAACAGAGAGAGGGCCTCTTTCAGGCTCTTTGATGAAAACTGAAGCCCAGTGGAAAAGTGAAGAGAATCTCTGCAATAAAGGCACACCAGACCACTGTACTTGGTAAGTTGGAGGGATCGTCACCTCCCACTGGAACCTGGACTATCTTCAAGGGAAGGGCAGCTGGAATCTGCAATAGAACCTTGTCGAGAGCAATGCTACATAATTTTAGGGAAAAATCATTTGATTAGGTCTAGTTCTCCTGCCTACAGGCCAGCTATGGCATTTCCAGACATGATTTCACCTTGGCCTCCAGTCACAACTGAGACCTCAATGACCCTGTGATGCTATGATGCTCCAGGGCAAGACCATGCCTGTGGGAGACATCCTGGGAGGAACCAAATTTTCATCTGTATAGTTCCTCATTGATCTAGGGATTCTACCACTCCCTAGTTATCTGTTACATCTGTTTCTCCCTATGTACTGAATAAAAGGTGCCCCAAGCTCCTGGGCTTTTGTCTTTGCTGCCCAGAGCAGCACTAATCAGGGCCAAAGCTCAGCTTCTCCAAGTCTCATTTTTTTCTACCTTTCCTGTATAAGTTAATTTGCCTTGTGCTGCCATGGCCCTCAGGAGACTAGGACTTACTGCAGAGGTCCTAGTAACGTCCCCTTTCCTTGTTCCCTACAGAAACTTGCAGAGTTCAACCCTGCAGGAGGACAGGGAGCTCAACTTGAGACTTGCAGCCAGAAATCTGCCTGAATTGCACATGTCTGCTACTGCCCTGCTGAGACTCATTGACTTATATCTACAAACTGCTCCCACATTGTCTATTGTGACAGCAGAGACATACCCTGAAGGAGGCCCTTCATTTTTATTTTTTGTGATTTTT